CAGGGGCTCGGGTGTGGGGGCCGGCGGGCGGACCGGACGGTGGCGCTGGCGCGGGTTGCGTTCTGGCTCCTCGGGAAATGCCGAGCGGAGCGCGCTGCCGGCTCTATTTAAGGAGTCGCCTGACGTCAGCCGCGCGGGTCCCCCGAGCCCGCGCCGCGCCCGGGGACCTGGCCCGCCTCTCGCGCCCCCACTCTCTTAGCTTTCGCAGGGACACACCACCCCAGGCCCTCGCCAAGTAGGCCGCTCCCTATAAAGTCCTGGCCAGCTTGGGGCAGTGAGGATAGGGCTTCGAGGCTGGACAACCTCACCACGCTGACCACCGGCCACCCGGGGGTAGAAACCCAGGCGGAGATCATGCCAACCTCCAGACCAGACATAGACCCGGGCGCAGTCGCAAGCGCCCTACCCCGATATGCAGTCCCGCCACGCTGTACAAATGCACGCACACTCACAGGAGCTCACGCACCCTAACCTGGATACACCCCCACAACCCACACGGAGGTGAGGAGAAGACATTCCCCAACCTGGGCATCAAAACACCGACAGGGACACTCCCCTCTCGCCCGCCATCTCGCCCAAGGGATGCACACAGCCGGCATCGGACATGGTGCGGTGTGCGCACACACGCCCGGGGACCGGGACACACGCTGTAGACGGGATGGGTGGAGGGACCGGGCGTGAGTGATGTTCCGTGACTATTCATGGAGCGCCGGAGCCCCCCGCGCGCTGACTCACGCCCAGCGGCTCGCTCTGTCTCACACCCGTGAAGCACGCACTCCCACCCCACTGTCACTCACGTCTCCGGGCCTGGCGGGAGAGCGAACCCCAGGGCCGGGGGCTCCGCGTCAGGCCGGTTCCTGTCTTAGTGGCCGCCCCCTAGCGGTGGACTGCTCTCCGGGGAGCTGTCCAAGGTACCATTGGGTCCCTGAAGGCTAAGGTGCCGCGGGCTTCTTCAGGCTCCCGCACTTGGGAGGAGGAAACGGAGAACAGGGAGGACTTATCCAGGAGCAAGTCCACTTTCAATATTTTCTAAGTGACTTCCTGCTGGGCGATTTTGTGACAATGCCCAGAACGGATTTCAATGACAAACCTCAAGCTGACGCCTTGAGTACCTGGGTCAGAACCCTGCATAAGAACAGGTCCAATAGCCACCACCAAGAATGGAGTAGAAGCATCTTTCAACAATGCCAACTCACCATGCCCAAGCGTTCATAACGAGAGTACCTCCATAGGATGTCCGGATCACCACCATCAACCTCCTCCCGCCATGCGGGGTGTAACTGACATTTCTTCAGGCCATAATATGATCAAAAAAGCTCTTTGGACCTTAGCCCCAACCAGAAAACATTTTGTGCCCCAAACATTAGGCCAATTCCTCTCCTTAAGATAATAGCAATAGCTACCAGCTCTATGCCAAGTACTTGGCATATATTAACTCATTTCATATTTACCACAATCTATGAGATTATGACCATTATCGTCACATCACTGTGCTTTCTTAATCCTAATTCAGTAGTAGTCAGGATTCGATTCAATGTTTTGTGCCAGTAATGTGCTAATCACTTGGCATGCACCGCCTCATTTATCTTTGGAGATAAGTATGGTTATAGTTCCTAATTTATACAAAGAAGGTTCAATGAACACGTACTCAGTAACTGACAGGGCTGGGATTAAACCCAGGCAATTTGAATCCAAGACTCAAGCTCTTTGCAGCTCCCTAACTTCTTTTGACCATTATTCACAATTCCATCCTAGTCTCCTCTCCTGAATGCAAACTAATTTGTCTATGTCTCTTTTAAAATCTGGCACCTGGGACTGATGAGGAATTCCAGGCATAGATTGAAAAGTTCAACAGGTTCTCACCTTCCATCTGTAAACTCTATTTCTAGTAATGCCACCCAAGACCCCATTATCTTTTCTTGTAGCTACATCACACTGCTGACATCTCAAGCTTGCAGCCAAGTAACATCTCTAAGTGTTTCTTACAAGTACTGCTGATTAAGGGCACATCTACCCCATACTGTGCTTGTACAGTGGACTTTTTTAGACCTAACATATAGGTCCTTACATATTTGACCTGATTAAATTTCATCTTATCTCATCAGCTCACTGTTCCAGTTTTTTTTTTTTTTAAATTTCAAATGTCTATTTCAATCTCAAGTCATGGTGTAGCTTTCATTTGTTAAAAAGAAAAAAAGAGAGAAATATTGTAAAAAAAAAAAAAAGAAGAAGAAGAAGAAAAAGAAAAAGAAGAGAAATATTGTATTCCAGCTTTAGCCCTGATTTCAAGTACTCTAGGCAAATGGATTGACCTCTCTGTGCCTCAGTCTCCCCAGATGAAAAATGGGAAGCTAGATAACTCTGAACAAAAGCCTCTGAAAATTCCAATGCATGATTTTATGATTTTATTAGTCCATTATCCAAAGCATAAGCCATTCTCTGCATCATGTTATCTCCATATTTGATTACAATTTAATTAATTCCTCACTCAAATTGTTAATAAAAATGTCAAAACAAATGTGTTGGAAGGAGATCTAATTTTGCAACTTTTTTTTACATCATGAACCTTCTATTTCTGTACTCCATTGTTAAAACCACAAGGTTAAATGTGGAGTAATCCACTCTGACAAGCACTTTTCTCTTAGAGAAGAACATAGATTCTGTTATTTCTCATAATTCTGTGCTGGGCTCAATTTTAAAATGGTTTTTCTTCTTTTTATTCATAAACTCTAATACTCTGGAGTATTCAGATACATTAGAGTCAGGCATATTTCTCTAATCGGAATAATGACCATAGCCTGGACAGAACTTTTCAAGGAGTGAGACAGTAGACGTGTCTGTCCATCATGCCACCCCTATCTTTTTATGTTAGTAGCATGATTTTCCTTTGAGGATACCAAGTAGGATTATATTGGGCTATGTGGTTTGTTAATTAACACTCACTTAAGCAAAATATATGTTTATTTTTCTCTCACATGAACATCTGAGATAAAGATGATTCAGATTCAGGGCTGGCATGGAAGCTCCACACTGTTAGGGACACAGGCTTTTACTCTCTTATTGATTCATTGTGAAGTCACCGTGTAGTCTAAGAGAACTTATTCATATCTAGCCATGATGTACACACTGTGGCCAACAGTTAGGGAGACAAAGACAGAGAAAGAGTGCCATGTCTCTTTAAGGACATTCCTTGAAAGGCGCCAGCATTTACATTAATCTGATTGGCCAGAATGTTGTCAGATGGCTTTCTATCCTCAGGAGAGCCTTCAAAATGTAGTTTTGATTCTAAGTAGCTATATGCCTAAACTAAAACTTATGGCTAAAACTTGGGGGTATTGTTATCAAGGAAGATATGAAGAACCATTGTGGGTGACAACTAGTAATGGCTAACATCCTTGGAGAAAGTGTTTTCTCTCTTTTCCCATGTGGTTTGTATGGGCTGAACCCAGTACTAAGACAGGCATCTCATCAAGCTTGACACCATCGTTTTCTAATTATTTTCCAATGATTAAAAGTAACTCAACTCTTCCTATGGAAAACAACCACACAACTTTTATTGAAACTATTGGAACAGAGA